ATATTAAAAACAAATCAAGTGCCTTCCCTCAGATTTATGAATATGTGCATTTTTAAAAAGCTCTTATTCAAAAAGGAAAACAGAAGAAATTAAATCCCAATCTATCCCTAGGTGAAGTCCCTCAACACTTGACACTCGGTATGCCCACTTTTCTTTTGCTTATAGTCAGAGTTGTGCATAGGAGCCATTCTGTGAATGGATACAGCCAGACACAACTGCCCGAAATGGAGAGGGGAGGGAGAAGATCCAAAGCTTGCTCGGCAGATCTGTAAATAAACCCACGTCTCTATGGAGCTTGCTAATAAATCCAAGCTACCGGATGACCTCTGTCACTCCCGCGGATCTCCTATTAGATGGTATTGTGGTGATTTCCCTTATATTCTCTGTTATGAAGAGTGGGTTATTTTTAAACCGGATAAAAATCTACAGATAAAAGCTGGGGTTGAAGTGGGTGGTCAGGACTTAAACAACAAAGATCAGGGAAGGTGGGGGGGAAATTAAGATTTGTTATTAATAACAAAGACTTTCAAAAATAAGAACATGTGATACAAATGACATCCTTGCTTGGAAGGAAGGAGGAGAGGACCAAAGAATTTGTGCTGGATGTCGGGCAGCTCTTTGTGCAACAAATTGTCTCTTTTCCTCTCCTAGTCTTGTTCCCCTACTCTTATCCAGAACATCTCCAGCTCTTTCACTTCTCGCTCTTTCACTTCTCTCTTCCTTGCATAGCATTCTAAGAGAGGTTCTGGAACCAGGGGACATGGAAGGAAAAGAAACACCATCAAGCTTGGCTCAAGACATTTTGTTGCCTGAGACAAAAGACAACATGATGCACCAAGCTGACTGGGCTGGCAGGTGAACCTTCCCATAACACTGGCAATGGAAGATAGGTCTGCACCACCTCTGTGGGCACCAGGCTAGTATAGGGGGTACAAAACAGCCTTTGTAGCACTCTTACCTCTGAACTCATTTGTCCTGCCTAACAACAGGGCCAGACCTGGGCATCACCAAGATTACTCAGACAGGCATTTGGAAGTCCCTTTCTACCTGTGATTAAAAAAATATATATTAAAAATGACTTCAGTGGATTGAGCACATCATGGGGACCATCCTTATGGATAGTTTCTCTTAACCCGAGGGCACATACATCATATTTTTTACATTTGTTCAATCATACACTGAGGTGACATAGCTTTATACATGGCCATGATTTACACCTTCCTTTGACTCACTTATTCTTAAGAAAATAAACAGTTCTTCTAGATTATTTCAAAGGTCCATCTAGACTAGCTTCTAAGGCCAAGATCCTGCATTACAGGTTGCAGTGTACAGAGGACTGACATAATATACAACCATGTTAGAAAATGGTGATGATATGCAACAAGACACCATACAAGATGTCCTGTTGCACAATAGGAACGCCTACCATGCAATGGAGCACAGTGAAAGGTCAGGACATTATTCCAACACCCATGACTTTCCACTTTCCTCCATTCTGGATTACCAGTGCCCCATGTTTCTGCTGCAGGCAATGTCCTCCTCTCCTTCAGCTGTCATTTCACAAGGGTAGCCTGTCCTGCAAACTGCCATATTGTTGCACATCATGACTAGGCTATTTGGAATGACCAGGCTATTTGCTTTGCTTGTGCAATGGTCCCAAGGGCACAGCTATGATAATACTCCTCTGCTGGGAATACAACCATTGTGCAATGCTGCAGTTCTAAACTGTGCAACTGTAAACTGGTTTACAATGTCAAAAATTTCCAAGAGGATGCCAGCCTATGTGTTCTGGACTGTAACCATTATGGAGGCTTATTGGGGTTGTAATAAAAAGCATCTAAAAGGTATAAGGTTGGGGAACAGTGATCTAGACATTTGAATTAAATATGGACATTTACCTGGGAATAAGTCCTGCTAAACACAATGGTGTGTGTGTGTGTGTGTGTAAAATTTTCCTATTGAATACTAGTTTGTCTGGGCTCTGAAAATTTCCTCATACACTCCTGGTGGCTAGATGAGCACAAGGAAGATTAAAGGGTTACTGGATGTTTCATAGTTGTGTAGAAGAGATAATTTCTGCAGATGTAGTGTCTCTTGGCCTTAATCCATGCACTCAAGCATAGATAAATACATGGATGGAGATGACAACCCTTTCACCCCTTATTATGTTTTTCCGGGACAAATGATGCAGCTTTACACAGCTGAGAAAACTTGTGCAACTTTTTCAGTGCTAGTATAGTTCTGCAACTAGATTCTGGTCTCAGGAGACATACTTCTGAGCCAATCCCTCTTCACCCCAATGTTGGAAGTAGGCAACAGCTATGGAACAAAGCAAGAGCTCTTTAAGGGCAGACAGATCAGGACTAGAGGTGGAGGAAGCAGGACAAATCTTGGCAATCTTCTTTAAGGCCTTTGAAGCAACAGTTCCCTTTCAACAGGCTAGCTTTCTCAGGCTGCTCTGTCCATGGTTCTGAAAGCCATAACCCAGTCTATTGGCTGTGATTCTGCCATATGTGCCACGGCCTGGCCTGACCTTACCAGATGTGACTCTGCCCTGCTTTCACTGGTCTGTTCTTGCCAAATGTGTCTTGTCTGCTCCCCTGCCAGTGGATGCTGCTGCCTACAAAAAGCAGAATGCATTGCATAAAACAAAAAAGCTGTGCAAACTTTGCATATGCAGAATACACCCTTTCTCTAAGCAGAATGTGGATTCCACACACTCCATCCATCCAACTGAACACACACAGGCCCAGCAAAAGGGTTCAGGAACACACACACACACTCTCACCATAAATTTAAAGCAGTTCTGTTTTGGGGCATGTGTTGCTATCCACCTCCTCATGCTGGTCACTCTCAGAAAGACACCACTCTTCCAGAACTAAAGATACCACTGGGATCCATGCAAACTCCAAGCTCCATTTGGTAATTAACCTTTTTATAGGGCAGAAAAGTGAGCTAAGCAAGCTCCCTCCTGCTTCTTTACTTTGCCTCCTGAATATAAAGTGCTCCTGAATCCACAGAGTACAATACTTTCTGGTTCTCTGCAAATGTGTTCACCTTGGCAAGGCATTTAAGGAGAAAGATAGGCTAGTCGTGTCCTTAAAAGTCTCCTGAATGTTATTTTTAAAGACGTGAGTATTTATACCAGCAAGACTGGACCAAGTCATTTTGCTGCCTGAGGCCAAGGAGAAGATGGCACCCACCCACCCAAATACACACATGGATGATAATGGGGCTGGCAGCTGAATCTGACTTCAACATTGATGACAGGACAGCTTTCTTTGCTGCATGATGGATGGCAAACAGGCTAGCTTAGAAACAGCTTGGAAAAGTTGCATCAGATGCAAAACGGCTGCAGCCTTGTCACACACCACACCATGCTAATTTTACCATGGATTTAAGTGGACAGCAGAACTGTATTTCATTTGAAAGAGATTCAAACAACGTCCTGATTTCTGAACTAGAAAAAGCCAAGTTTCATGCCTCTTTGCAACGACAGTATACCAGGCCAACCTGCAAGCTGTCTGTTCCAGAACAAGCTTTTGCACAACAAGTTGACCTCATCCCCAACTGTGAGTATGCAAAGAGAGCTCCTCACTCCTCACCCACACACCATTCTTACAGATACTTTCAGGTCACTCTGACTGTCTTCTTTGTGTATTGCACTGGGCGATACGCCAGCAGACACGGGTTAACAATCTACTGTAGAGACCATCGTGTTCCACTGCAGGGAACTGAGCTTGTAAGGTAGCCGGAAAGGGGACTGTTGTTCTTATTTCTTCACCAGGCAGATAGCCAAAACTCTTAATCTAAAAGGGCTGAAAAACAGAGAAACTAGAATTAACAAATCTACCCAATCTACTCATAACTACTTCATGGAACAGTGGACCATCCATTCTTGACCCTCACATAGCTAGTTTCAGGGCTTAGGAAAAGTTCATGTTCTTCTTTCTTTCTTTCTTGAGGTGATGGAGGGAACTACAACTGGCCATGCTGGCTGGGAGATTCTGGAACACCATAAAGGTAATGCCTCCAAGTTCATCTGCAGATTTATCTGAGAGTAATCTTTCTTCAA